CGGGTGAGAACTGCAGCTCCCAAGGCACTGACAGCCTTGAGTCACACACTTGGAAACTGATACACAGAAAGATATTTAAAAATACATCAGAAACTGTAGATTTTAGCCTCTTGCCCTTGCTCAGCACAAGTCAGTAGCAGAGAAAGAATTCTCCGCCAAGAGATTTGAGCTTTATTCCTTTTTACAGAATTTCTGTGTTCCCTTTCCAAAGTCTGGAGCTTTCCGAGTTGGGTCTGGTACCTGTGTGAAACCAGGGAAAACGATTTGCCAGGTCACTCAGAACATCAACAGCGAAGAAAGGGACTGGCCACTGAGCTCCTGGGGTAACTGGTTAGTAAGGTTACCACCTGGCTGACCTTGCTGGTTGATAAACCTGAAACTTCATGCTCTTTCCCATGCTAATCACTAACCGGCACTACGTGACTGAAGGAAAATCTGTCTCACCAAAACGGCTGGCTGTTGGGCCAGAGCTGTCCTCCTTCATGGAGCTCTGCCCACACCTCAGTCGTCACCTCAGAGACCCAGCTCTTGTTCTGGTCCTCAAGCATCCTCCAAAATGCCACCAACTGTGCCGAATTGTACTGCAGCTTCTGAATATGAGAAGACCTCGAACGAAATGCAAACCAACAGTTCCAAACGTGTTTCAGATAGGATCTAAGTCAGGTCTCCAAACGCAGCATTTGGGGAAATGGTACTGTCACTTCTCCAAAACCTAAGAATATAAAAATAGCATGGTTTATGGGTACCACAATACTACAAACTCAACTTTATTGTGTCAATGCAAAATCATGCCTCACACATCCCCTCGTAACCACAGGCTGCAGCCCACTTACCACTAAAAAGGAGAGAAAGAGATCCACGACAGGCTCAGAAGATACTTTAAATTAGTGATTTGCTAGAACAACCGACACTAATGCCATTTGTTCGTATGCTGTGACGGTGTAAATAGCATCCACAGCTGAAATATTTACGAAAATAAGTTTGCAAGTTCACATAAAAGACATTTCCCTGGGTGCTGCCCCCTGCCCACCACCGGGGTGGGTCCGTGGGGTATTTGCTCCACGTGTAAATGCCCAAGTACAACCACAGCAATTTCATATTCTTTTTTTTTCTCCCAGCTTATCTTCTCACAGCTCTGGAGTGCATTCTTCCTTATCTTGGAGACAAATGGCCTCCACGGAGAGCTCTAAACAGCAGAGCTATTTATCTGTTTGACATGTGTTTCCCTGTTTGTTTTCTCCAGCCTCAAGACAGTCGGCTCAGGCTCTGACAATATTCAGCTGTGTCAGTGGCAGAGGGTTGCCTGGCCCCTTCGCTCCAGCACTGGGAATCAATTTCTTTGCCATATTTATCATTTACTGTAGTAAATCAAGTCTAATCAATGCTTTCTTCTCTTGATATAGAGCAAATCCTTTACGAACTTTTCAGAAAGCTGGCTGGAATTAAAAAAAAGCTGGGGGAGGACAGGGGAATTAATTATTTAATCAATTCAGCGCTGATTTTTTCTTTGGGGAAAGAGATGAAAAGGTGGCAATGTTCTGCGGGTGGCAGTCCCCACTGAAAAAATTAAAATACAGTTTCCCGTATTTCACTTGTTGCTTTTAACACCTTAAAGCACTACGTGAACAACTGTCTCCCTGCCTAACCCAAAGGCACCTCCACTCTTTCAGAGCCAACCCCGGGATGTGAGGGCGTCTCTCCCCCTGCAGACACACCTCATGTCGCCCACCCAGCAGCAGAGCCATGGCTGGGGAGCGCTGGAGCTGCCTTCGTTCTCATTCTCCAGGGCTGTTGGGCAGCTCAGGACAGCAGGGCGGGCACGTGTGCCATGGAGAGCACCAACAGCCTGCAGATCCCTCTCCGGCTGCCCTCAGCAGGAGCGGCGCTCCAGGCAGCAGTGAGGATGGGGAGCAGACTCCCCGGGGCCTTGGGCAAAAATCCAGGCTGCTGCCACTCACTCACCCAGGGAGACGAGCCTTCTGTAAGGACAGCTCACACATCAGCGATGCTCGGCTGGAAGGAGACGCTGCCTTCGCTCGGGTCCAGGTGAGAACGGAGGCTGGGGGGCAGCCCGCTGCGGCAGAGAAGCGGCAGGATGTTAACTGGAGCCAGCTTCCCACGGCCACCGTAGCTGGAGCCCTGCATCCCTGCAACGACGTAAGGCTGGGACAAAGATGCTCTGTTCAGACAGGCCTGGATCTCTAATACACAGCTGACTGATTAACAGCAGGGCGTTAAACAAGTCACATTTCCAACTCCATTTAATCGCTCCCCCAGAGCCCTCCATACACCCCACACATCCCGCTTCCCTCCAGTGAAACCCCACAGCTCTTCCCCTCTCAGGCTTAGCTCACATTCAACCTTATTTGCAGTAGGAATTTTGTCCAAATGTGGCAGTTCTGTTCCCTTGGGACTGATTACGATGATGAGCAACAAATGCCTTCAAACAAAGTATTGGCTGTGCTACAAATAAGCTTGGGTGGATGGGGAGGGATGAGCACTAGGAACACGGAGAATTTTAAAACCAACAGCGCATACCTTACAAGTTCCTCCTGTATCAACCACTACCCAGCCTGGAAAGCCTGCAGAAGAACAATTCCTATGGATTCATCCAAATAGCTCCTCTACATAAATTTGAGTTCACTCACTTCTTTCAGAACAGACAGCAGTTTATGGGATTGAGAGGGTGGGGGGAACAGGAGGATGGTTGAGGCTTTTTTGTTTTTCCCCAAGTGTTTGTGGTTCATGGATTCAGCAAGCCTCAGTTTGGCCAAACAAGGTTACAGAGCTCCACTTTTCTTTTTAAAGTGTCTTTCTGCGCTCTTTTTAGAGAAGCAAGGCTTCTCTTTCATACAGGCGTCGCTCATCCCAAGCACTCTGTGCTGGGTAACACAGCCACGCATGGAATTCTTATCACCCAATATGAAAAACTTCCCACCCCACCACCACCAGGTCACATCAAATTGCTATCAACCAACATATAAATCATCATTCATTTTCAGCTCCACAACCACTCGACAGAGTTTAGGGTCTCAAAGGTGAGGACATCAGTGACATCCAAGCTTTGTCATTCTCACCTGGCATTTACTGTGGCATCAGACTGTATGGATCCTGAAGATATTTACACCCAAACTGGATTCACACAGACACGATGGAAAAGGCTCACAAATGGCATAAATAAATTACGCTTTTAGGCACACAGAGGAAAACAAAAAGATTAACCGAAGATGTTCTCTTTGCTCCAGGAGAGGCAGCCAGCCCCTGGAAGTAAGCAGGCCTGCTGGAAAGAGAGGAACATGCTCAAGTCTGTCACAAAATGGGAGAATGGGGAAGGTAAAAAACCCAGGAGAGCGCTGAAGACGCGGGATATTACAAATACCTATCAATTTTCACAATGTGTATTTCCTGGCTCATACTAATTTAGCTTTCTGCAGCCCATGTTCAGCTGAAGGAAGTTTCAGAGTTCATACCTGTAATTTGGGGAGAGTGGGAGGAGAGTTACTTTTTTTTTTTTATCCTTAAGCACATTTTTTCCTTCTCTCAGACATATGCTGCAGTGTAGATTTTATTGCTAGCATTTAGAAGAGTAAGTGCTCACTGACATGCAAGATGGGAAAGGTTCCTCCCCTGGGGAACAGAGCACAGAGACTGATTAAGCGACCGGTAGGTATTTAAGAACATAAAAAATATTGGCAGATCAGGGTTGCAGTTCTTACAGAACGGGAGTCAGCACAGGAACAGAGCTAGCCTGCTGATTTCCAGCAGGGTGTAGCATTGGTGAAGAATAAGTCTTTAAGCCTAGGATTTTTATACACTTTTTAAATAGTAGAAAGCTTGAAAAGTAATCACAGCTTGTGCCTCCAGAGGCATAGATCAGGTGCTCCTGTTTTGTCACAAACCGGGTAGTCCATGTCCCACACTGCCTCCATCCCAAATCCTTTGTAGAGGTTGAAAAGCAGGATATAATTTGCAGTAGCCACCTGACTTCAAGAACCTGTCCACAGTTAACAGAAAATAGCACAAAATATATTGACTGATTGGGTTATTTTAATGTTCTGAAGACAAAAAGGAGCAAATGAGTCGGCCAAAGCTACGTGATGACTAATAACAAAGCAGAGGTTTGCTTTCAATCTTATCCTCAAGACCGTTGTACCATTTGTTTCTTCATTTCGGTTTACATTACTGTGGTGATATTAAAAGCATATGCAGAAAAAAATAAGACATAATTAGAATTTCTGTTCTTTAGAGTGCAACAGTGTCCACACATGGAAACATTTCAAAAACAACACAAAAGAATAAATACATGACAAAACTGTTGAAATTACTTACATAAGAACTGCAGAAATACAGCATTACCCCTTCTAACCTAATTCTAACCTGATTTCCATTTTGTAGAAATACAAGGTACAACTCTTATCTCGCACTGATAACAAAATTTCCTTTATTTTGTACAAAAAATAGAAAATATTTATATATTTTAAAATAATTTGTCAGCACTATTTAGACTTTTAAAGTTCTAACCATTATTTTTGAAGTGGTTAGCTTTACCACATTTTAGAATTTTTAAAAAATGCAGCAAAATGTCATAAACAAGTTTATACAAACATAATGAGGAGATTTTTCAAGTAAATCCCAACAGCTAAAGGTAATTAAAATGATGCTACAACTCATTTCAGTTGTATTTGATTAGGACATCCTTCTACTACCGAGTAAGCTTAATGAACACTGTTTCTAAAGGTTTACTGAAATTACATATTCCCACATGTAGAGATCAAATCTGAGACACTGTTGAAGCAGAGAAAAATAAAAATCTAACTTTGAGGGTATCTATCACAGTGTCATATAAATTCTTTTCAAAGCAGTCTTGTCCTCCAAACTGTCAACACAACAAAGAAGAAAAATATCAACTTCTTTCTGCAGCTCAGGGTAGCCTTGGGAACATCTCATTATAGCAACGAGCTGTGTTGCTAGTGGGTCACAGAGTGTTCTAACACGGTCCTTTAGTCTTCATCTTCATTTGTATTGCAAAGGAAAAGCAATGGGTTCGCCTTTGAAGACACCTCTAAGAAATTTCCCTTCCCAGTGGTATCTTCTGAAAATCTGTCAGGTTCCGATACAGGGTTTTCTTCTTGTTCCTGTAAAATGCAGCTCGTGGTAGCCAATCCTTCAGGCTGTTCTGAAAGTCTAATTGCAGTGTGCATTTGCTTTTCTAATTCTTCTATCAATTTTCCAGGAGCAGATGTAGATTGCAAAGAAACCTTTGATTTTTCATCACTAATGTCAAACGTTGAAGTGTTTGTGCCCTGCCTCAACCCATTACAGTCAATAAGTGGAGCTGTCCTCTCCTCTTGAAGCCTGCCTTGTAAAGAATTTATTTTCCCATCTTCACTGGTTGAGGACTCTCGCTCATCTGAATCAGAGCCTTCTGTCTCAGATGATGAAGTACTGCTTGATTCTTCAGAGTCACTTGTCTCCAACTCAGAGGAAAGCAGCTGTTGCTTGGAAACTGTGCCAGCAGCTTTTAACATGCTCTCTTCCTCTTGTACCAGCACTGCTGCTGCTTCCAGCTCTTCTAGTTCAAATCCCATGTGGGACTTTGCGAGCGTGGTTTTCTGCAGGGATTCACAGAGTGCAGCCAACTTTTTTGACCTTTAACAAAAAACAAGATATATTATTTAACTTTACAAACACAGCTTTCCCTCATTTGACAATGAGAACACAAACCCTAAACATTTCTACTGTTCATTTGGTTTGCAAACAACTTTCTTCTTCAATTATGATTGTAACAATAGGGGGGGGTGAGAATCAAAAGTATTCATAACTACTATTATTTTGGGTAACTTTTCCCACAAGGCCAGACAGTATCTCCCTGAAAGTCTTCGGCGACACTTGTAGAAAAGATCCTGCTGCTTTGATGTTTCAGCAGTGCACAGCAAGGGAAAACACTTCTCAGAACAGACCTTTCCAGGACTGCTGTCTTTATCAGTGAACTCTGCAGCATGTGGCTTGCTGGATTTTTATATGCAGCAAAATCATTTTGGTTTAGTGCCCTTCCAGATACGTCTGTTAAATGCAGATGAAGAGATAGAACACAGCTGATCAGGTCTGTCTCAGTGATATGTTCCCCTTTCACAGCTAGCTTGGTGCACCCATGATAGCAGGATATTCAGTACCATGTCTGCAGACATGCTTTACCTTTCACTTGTAATCCAGATTATTTCTGTTGATTAATGTAATTCAACAGAAATATCAGGACCATTCAGACAAACTCCTCTACTAAAGCAGCCACACTGCATCAGCTTCAGATCTTGGGTACAGCCATACCCATTTCCTCAGGTGTTCTGAAGTCAGCACATGCTTTACCAGAAAAGCGCATCGTGGACCATATAAACAGCACAAAAAAGTAGGAATGCCTTGAAATTCTGGGGAGCAGAGGGGAAAATGAGTATAAAATAACAAACATACATCCTGTTTCTTGTTGTAGAGTTTTGCCTCCGCCTATCAATCAACTTTTCACCACTTCCTGCAACAGCAGGTCTGCTATAAATCCTGCAGTAACTGACTGGCTTTCATTTCCTCCGCCAAACCTGCGAACCTGCAAGGCATGACACGCTGACACCCGAGCTAGTAGCTGATAATGTAGTACATGACTTCTGCAAGGCAAAAGTTAAAGTGCTTGTTCTCTCAGCTGAACGATTTTGAAGATCTTTATATTCTATTTCCCAGGGGGACATAATTATTCAGTATAACATAGACGCTTCCCTTTTTTTTTTTCTCCTCCTAAAGGGATTTTATTTAAAAATGGGAAAAGTCAATGCAGCTTCTTACGCATTTTACAGAGACACTGCAACATTTAAAAGCTGAACTCAGAACACAACATACTGAACTTCCTTTGTTCAACCTATAGACTAGAAAACTAAGAAATAAGTGTTTCCAAGAAGTAAATGAAGCAACAGAGAACAATTTCGATGATTTTTAAATCTATAGCTAAGAATGAAATCACAACATTACCCTAGCAGCCTCCAATATAAACACAGGTACCAAATAAGCTGCTTACTTAACACTATTCTGGTTTTTAGTTTTTGGGGATATATTTCCATTTTATTTTTGTCAAGAACTTGAACTTTCCTTGAAAAGTTATGGAGGATTTGAGAAATTGTCAACCTAATTGGGAACAAAGAAAGCATTGTCCCTGCTCCATAGGTAAAAGAAAAAAAAGGCAGCCAAGCGACACACCGAAAGGTTCATGAAGCTTTGCAGGTAGGTGGTAACAGAATAACTGGCTTGCAGTGAAACCTGCTTCCTGAACACAGTGGTGAGAAACCTGTTTATATCCCCAGTCACAAGAGTTTATATCCCTTTCAGAAAGCATTTTGCTTGGCTTTTGAAAGAGTTTTTTTCCTTCCTTCTAACTATTTGTATGTACATGTGTGCATGTGCCCCCTTGCCCTGTGAGAGCTGTTAGTAATATGACGGTACAATCATCTTCCTGTCCGAGCTCCAAAAAGCTAAATGTGCCTTGTGACCGAGACCACTGTTTCGTACACATTTCATATGTAGTTCCTTTCAGTTTCATTGACAACCATGAGCAACCGATTGTAGGCACAATTTTCTCAGGTGATACATCCTCAGCTCGAGCTACCTCAGTCTCACCTACCTGTTTACTACTGCCATTATAGATAAAAAAATCAATTTTGAAAGTCCTGTTTGTTTTCACAACTCTTCTATCATGTTTGTCACTTTGTTTCCCAGTCCTATACGTATTTTTTGGCTTTTCCCTATTTCTGCTTTCCTAATTCTTCATGCAAATTTTTCCTGCTAGATTCTCTGTGTCCTTGAAATCATTCCCTTAAAACTCTCTCCTCCTCTTTTCCTGTTCTCTTCTAACACAGTTAACACATTAGATATACAAACATGTCACATAACTAAATACTGAAGTATTAAGGAGCTGTATGGCATCATGTATTTCTTGGCATTAATAAATACTTCACTGTGCCCCAGATTACTTAATACCAAGTGTTAAAGAAGAAAAAACAGTGCTATGCTCATTTGACTCACCACACATTATGGTACTAGATTAGATGGGGTCTTACTGACAGCTAAAAGAATGGCCTCTCTAAAGCAGCGAGTGTTTGATCATTCTGTACACAAACGCATATTTACCAATGAGTTCAAAGAGAATGAATGAAAAGGCTGTGCCTGACAGCGACGGACCAGCATCTGTCCTACCAGACAGCTGAAAAGGCATTCTTAGTCTGAAAACCTTGGGTTAATTCCTTCTGAGTGAACAAAACACACTACAAATTAGTGACAATAACCGATTCCATAAAACAACTGGCTTCAGGTTTCACATTTAGTCCTTTCTCCCCTAAAGTTTTGATAGCACTACTGAGAGAGGACATGCTTTTTATCTTTACGAAGGATTACAGGAAAAAAAGCCATTGATTAAACAGCCTGCTCTTCCCTTCTAACAAGAAGGGCACAAACGCATACTCTAGATGAGTAAATGCCTGCAAAAGGCCAACAATTCCATCTATCCTCTTAACCTCTACAACTGCCTTACTTCAGCGCTGTCACGTTGTGGCCCCACAGAGCAGCGGGACTGCCAACACCACAAACGAGGACACAGCCCATGAACTACCGACCTGCACACCTCGGGGCGGGGGAAGGCATGTGGGCTTCACGCAGACCTGCTCAACCTTCCTTCTCTCTGCACATCAATGCCTCGACGACCACATCACACCAACCACAACAGGAATCTTCTAGTAAATCATTAAGAAACTAGAAGATTATTTTACTATTTTTTCAGCTCTTCATCACCACAGATACTTGATTTAAACTGGATGAAAAAGTCTCTTCACTTACTCAGATTTCTTAAGTAGACAAAATGCTTCCTCCCAATTTTCACGCTGGTCGTCATGTCTTTTCCAGAAAAAAAAATGGACAGTCTCCTGAGCTCAACATTTCAACATGAGAAACAAACACAAATTGTCATGCTCTTAACACATTTACACAGAAAAGCAGAAATCTCCACTCCCCAACTTTCCAATCTTTCTATTAAAAGAAAAAAAAAAAAGAGCACTTGAACAGCTTTTTTTTTCCCCTTGCCCTGTGCAAGGGACTATCAGAATTACCATCAGCTATCAGTCCATCTTGTCTAAGACAACTACATAATTTCAGGGAGAACCGAGTTTCAGGAGTGCATTTCACATCAGCCTTAAGAAAAGGTGGCAGCACCTCCTGGACAAAAAACAAGGCAAACCGCATAAAAATGAGAGCGTGGAAATGCTTTTAATGGGAGACTGTGGGTCTCGGAGCTAATGATTTCCCTACCTAAGATAAGCAACAGTTCAAGAAACAAAAATGAGACACCAGAAATGAGATCTCATGTATTAGAGACTTGGGGTAAACAGGTCCTGCTGTTTCCAAAATCTTCTGAGTAGTGTTTTACAGATTAGACAGCAAATACTTTAATTTTTCAAGTATGATTAATGGAATCGCATGATTACTTTAAGACATGCTCATTCAGTATGCACATTTGTGGTAATAATATCTTATTATTATGGTAATAGTGTTCTTACATAAACATGCATAATAGGCTTTAAAGGTGCTACACATGATAATTATTAGTTATCAAGATGTCAGTTGCTTAAGGAAATGTTTAATTACAGGTTAAACGGATCAGACGCATGTTTTGTTTAATGTATAGCTTTGAGGAACAGACAACATCAGAGGCATCTCAGGTCTTGTCCATGTAGTCTGGAATTAAAATTTGAAGACAGAACTACTGTAATCCTTGTCCAGGCAGCAGGAGATTGTCTTCATGTGCCAGAAGAAACAGTCTTGTTCCACAGATCTCAGATTATAAAAGAGTAAAACTGAGGTGAAAAGAAAGAATCAAAGGAGATTTAGCAAATAAAGGGAGATGGATAACACAAGGGAAAAAAAGAGGATTATGGCAAGAGGAAAGGGAAATCATTACAGGTTTGATGCAAAGCCCACCTGTGGCAGCATGAAGAGAAGTGATGGTGATTGGGACCGACCGCAGTGCCGAGACACAAGCAGCAGCCGGTGGGAGGGAAGCAGGACATAACTTCTCCAGTTAAAGACTACTGCTCCTACCTTCTGTTCCAAGGAGTAAAGAGGGCACTAGGATCTGATCAATCAAGATAGCTGTTATCTCCAGAACAAGGAGCTACTAGAAAAATGTCTCATGGAAGACATACATTAGAGATTTGATTATTTCTAATGGAGATTTAACATAAGCTGGAAGGAAAGACAAAAGCCAATCTAGCCACAGAAAATAAATAAATGCAGGACTTGTGAGAAAGAACCAGCCACAAAATCCTCTATTTTTTCCCAAATGTTAAAATAAAAATAAGTACTTATGCTTCTGTATAAAATGTCCATCAGTCAGAAACAGCACTAACAAAAGGAAGAGGTTGAAAGAAAAACTATTAATGGGCCAGGCCTTTCCATCTGCCTGGTGCTTGCCTTACATCCAATTCTCTTGCTTTAGCAGTTATGTTTAAAAAGCCCCAAACAAAGAGCACAAAGGCAACTCAAAACCATGAAAATCATCATTCTGCTCCTCATTCTGTATGATGGGTGGTACCGCGTACTCAACCATGGCATGGGAGTTACATATC